TATACGTTACGTACCTACGTTAAAATGTTCCTGAGATCGTACGCCGTCTTATTTTACTAAATAATTTGTTATTCCTAGTGATAAATTTTCACCGACTTCAAAGTTCAAAGTTGTGTGTTAGTTAAGCAGTTACTCCGATACATTGTGAACCAATTTTGATGATTCTTTTTTTGTAAAAAAGGGGGTATAGTTGGCGAAATATTTCTTTCCGTCTATTGATTTCAATAAAACTTTGCAATTAAATGTAATAACACAGACTCTGTTAAAATAAAAATATAAATGAAGAGACCTGGGAAAGAATGATCTGAGTCACATAAAATACGTTTTGAGTTAACAGCCAACCATTTCAGTAAACGCCGAGTGTATTTAGCCTGAATCAAAAAAAGTTTCAAAGTTCTGAATATTTAGGTTTTACTTTTAGTCTTAGAATAATAACGCATAGAAACCTAGTCCGCACACGCTAAGTCAGGCAAATTGAAGCGCGCCAAAAGGGCCTACACGAGCGGGCGGGCCTTCAGCTCAAGGTCAACTTGCACCGCGAATAGCTCAAGAATTTTAGCTAAAAAAGACGAAATGCGCGGTAAATGAGTGTAAAAATACGTCAGACAAACATAAAATAGATACTAACATCACATTCCACAAAGAAGTAACGCGTTTCAACTTGTATTTTTATATAAATATTCACTAAAACCGAAAATTAACCTACTACTAAAACTAGCCTACATGAATTTGATTTTTGCCTCACTTGTGACAGTTCGTTTGATATGAAACTATCATTCTATGCGTTATTATTCTAAGCTTTTAGTCATAAAAAACCTTGCGACTAAATGGTAAAAATGATTTATAAATGTTTTTTTTACTTTGAATGGATTACATAACGTATTAATAACATTTATGTCAGTATTGACTTCATTTTGGATAGCAGTTCTCAAAATAAATAACTCTTTTTTACTTACCTAAAATTCTCCTCAAATGACTTAGATCATTATAACCCCGGAGTCTTCAATTATTTAAAAAAATTCGTAATCCATACGTCTTATACACAAATAAAGAATAGAAACAAAATATTTGTTTGTCATCTGACAACTGACTTGGCCCATCGGTTTGCTATGGGCGCTGGATAAAGAAACCCTGGGTTCGTTTTCCCGGCAAGATCAATTTGGGAAATAAACTTAGTCGATTCTGTGTGTTCTAGATAGTGAAGTCCGTTTCTCTGGTACTCATGGTACAGGGCTCATAGAAATGGGAAGTTCAATGGGTTGATGGTTTTTTTTTAATAATATCATGTGATGGAACGAATGTCGTGCGCCTGATGGCAAGCTACACGCCTGTTGTTGTTGCAGTGCCACTCAGAGGTTTCAATTGCAAAGATCACCCTGATACATAAGTTGACAAGTCCCATGTGCCTGTTTCACCAGCACCGTTTGTTTGTTTTCACAGTTTGTTTAGTGCCTACTGTCAGGTACTACTTCATGTACTTTCATGCCAAACTAGTAGACCGTACTAAACATGTACTCTTAGGATACTCGATCAGCAACGTGGATGTTAAAGATAACCTATTTCCTAGGATTGATAATATGGATAGAGCAAAACATATGTATGTTTGTAGACAGCTGCAATTGCTCCGTGTGGACGCTTTGATTAATACACATACACATTCAAGCTTTTATAACAATTATACTTATATAGAATTGGTGCTACATTTTGGAACAATTCGGCCAACTTCTGTTGTCCCGATTTTTTCGTCCCATACAATGAAATGATCCATACATAAAACGAGTCAAGCAGCACAAAAAAATTTAGATCAATTTTATTCGTTTTTATGGACAACACACGGTTTACCAAAAAATTGACAAGGCCTAAATTGTTTTGACAAAAAAAGACTTAATGGTTCCTAAGTCAGTGTTCTTGTATCTTCCATGGTTTCGGATTTCCCCATACTGTCCCATTTAAAATAATAAATAAATAACGCACACACTCAACATAGCCCCGCACTAGGGAAACCCTGTGTCGCGGGTGCCATGGACACGCACATAGACAACCACAAATTACCTACACCCAAACTCACGAGAGAAATAATTGTAGGCCATACAACTATTTCTCCCGGCCCAGGAATCGAACCTGGGACCTCTGCGTGGCAGTCCGGCATGATAACCGTTCGGTCAGAGGCAGTTAAAAAAAAAAAGCACGTGCGCCCTGTGGATCAATCAAAAGCAGCGGACTCTCGGCGCGCTGCGGACAGTACAACAATGCCTTTAGGGTGTTGCTGGGGCTGCCCCGCTTCTGAAGCGCGTCAGGCATGTTTGCGCAGGCTAATATAGATGATTTTAATGCCATCTTGCGAAAGAAAACGGCCTCGCCGCTCTGCAGTCTACGGGGTAGTTCCAATCCCATCCTAAGGGTAATATCAGGGCGACATGATTCCCCGATCATAGCACATTGTGTAGACAGATCTTGCACACAAAAATAGTGACTAAGTAAGTAGTAATAGTAATGCAATGGATTTCCCTATGACAGGTAATTTTTAAAATTTTAATTTGTTCATGTTAATTATTATTATTTTAAATTTTTACTTTTGACTAAATTGTTATTATTATATCAGTGAATTTTATATTATGTATTTTGAATATTTTTACATCACGATTTTGAAAATTTTAATGTCCACTTTATATACAATACACCGTAAATTCACCATACATTCAATTGTTACTAATATAGTATAAGGTTGCTTCCTTACAAACTATGGACCTATGGTGTCTGAAAATAAAAGATTTTTATTTATTTTATTTATTAAATAAGTACCATGTATTTTAATTTTTTTTGTATCGCGGTTGCCATGGACACATAGACAAATTACAACCAAACTCACGAGAGAAATAAATATAGGCTATACATAAATTTCTCCCGGCCCGGGTATCGATCCTGGGGTCTATGTGTGGCAGTCCAGCATGGTAACCATTTAATCATGGAGGCAGTATTTTTCATGCTTTGTGTGTTTTTTTTTATTTTTTTTATGGTGTGTTGTCCCTTTGATTAAAAGTTTCGATTCTGTGCTCAAATGTTTTTCTCTTACTACACTTTTTTATTATAATATTATCAAATTAAAAGCGAATACCGACATCGAACGATATTCAAACATAAAAATTGAAATCTTACGAAAGTAGACCGCGCGGTGAAAAACTGAATATTAAATAAAGCGTGAAAGAATGGTGACATCACTAGTTGAGAAAGTGGAAAACTGCGTTGATGTTGTAATTAACCATCTTGATACTTTTCATATTGCAATATAGATAGATAGGTAAAACATAAAATTTTTTTGTCCTGCATCGTGCACACGACAATATAATACAGTAAATGGATTAAAAGATTCTTGACCTTCTCATTTTTTCCCCTATTTACAATATTTATTATTATTATTTTAAAATAAACTTTTTAATATTTCTGCCCTTTTTTTATTACGACCCAGTAGTTTTTTTCTTGCTTTTCTGAAACTTTTTTATTTATGATAATATGTGATGGAACTGGTGGTACGCTACACCCCTGTCCATAACAGTTACAGTGCCACTCAGAGCTTCAAATTGCGAAGATGTGAGAGGGACTGTCACTGCGCCCTTCACCCTGAGACATAAGTTGACATGTCCTATGTGCCTGTAATTTCACCAGGAAGGTTAAGGCCCTTTAAAAACGAAACGCAGTAATATGCTCACAATACTAACTGGCGGCAGAAATAGGTACGTTTATAAAACTGGTCTCGACAAGTGCACTGTCTTGTGTCGGGTTTTTTTAAATTATAATTCAAGATTTTTATTTTATTGAAGTCGTTAAAAACAATAACTCTAAAATTGAAAACAATAACTTTCCATTGATCATCTGTTATTGCGAAAGGGCATTTATATAGCTATATCCTTAGAATAATAACGCATAGAAACCTAGTCCGCACACGCTAAGTGAGGCAAATTGAAGCGCGCCCAATGGGCCTACACGAGCGGGCGGGCCTTCAGTGCTCAAGGTCAACTTGCACCGCGAACAGGTCAAGAAATTTAGCTAAAAATGACGAAATGTGCGGTAAATGAGTGTAAAAATACGTCAGACAAACATAAAATAGATACTAACATCACATTCCACAAGGAAGTAACGCGTTTCAACTTGTATTTTTATATAAATATTCACTAAAACCGAAAATGAACCTACTATTAAAACTAGCCTACATGAATTTGATTTTTGCCTCACTTGTGACAGTTCGTTTGATATGAAACTGTCATTCTATGCGTTATTATTCTAAGGCTATCACTTAAAAAAGGGTTTATTACCAATCAGCCGGCAGAATACAAAATAATGTTCTTTTTCCAATAAATGGTTTACTTTAGTAAAATATTAAAACATATAACAAACAAGGGAAGTATTTTAAAATAATATTATCGTACTTCAAAGTGAAAACAAAAACATGCTTTTTGCCATTTGACAATTTATTTCTAAGACCGTTACGCGCCATCTAGTTTTCTTAATGTGAACTACTGAAAAAAATTGAATTTTCATTGTTTAAAACTTGTCGTGTTAGAATTATGACGTAACTTAAAGAAAAAAACATTAGCACATCGATAACAAGAATGACTTAATCGTATTTTGAATGATTTACAGAAAAAATGTGTTCAATAAATTATTAGCTAAATAATTTCAACGGTGGAATTTGTTGGAATACGAAAAATGTAGACACTTGTAACTTGTGTATACTGCTATATTTTTTTTAAATATCATACTGTGTCTGGCCTCACATTTTTGTCATAACTGCGTGAAAAGTACTATACGCGGCTTTCGAAAGAGACCATTCACCGTTAATCGTTCTATCTTTTTTCATTTTAAATCAATATTAGTAAAGAATCGACACCTCAAATGGCTTTGCTTGATTCTGCATAACAGTGAGAACGTTGAAACTTTGGAAAAAATATGTAGTAAAATTTTAAATACACACTGATTATTACCAAACGGTGTGAAAACACGATTCATAAAAATTTTTACGATAAAAAAAACAGAAAAGACCTCGAAATTTTACAAGAAAACCGCTATATTCACTAGGACTATTTCACATATACTACAACTGAAGGTGAGTGTTTACACGCATAAATTAAGTTAAAATTAGTTGATAACGTTTATCGAAGAAGCTTAAAAACTATTCAACGTTTTTGACTTGTGATTTCCAAATATATCGCACCCGTCATGGAAGAATGGCGTAAGGGAAGTTACGTCAAAAACGTTTATTGTACCGTTAGATACAGAAAAATATAACCCACATCCTCTCCAATTCTTGTAATTCTATCGGCTAATTTTGTAGATAGAATTACGAGAATTGGAGAGGGTGTGGGTTATATGTTTCTGCATCCAATGGAGCAATAAACATGTTTGATAGTGAAACAGTACATTTACTCAAATATTTTGTATGCCCGTAAAAATATACATAATTTCGTTAAGAAAGAAGATATCCATAATAGCAACCTTAGAACTAAGTCCAACCTCATGGACATGAACTAAGTCCAACGTTTTCGTTTAATTAAGGTAAACTATTATTTTATGGGGTGTTTTAATTGAAAAGTCATATTACAAAATTGTAGACTACGTGTTAGATAAAGATGTATGGATAGACAACGTGAGTATAATTTCCACACAAATATGATTCAAATTGTATTCTAAAGCATTTAAGTCTATTTCAAAAGAGCAATCCCTAGAGTTTCTTGCTTGTTCTTCTCAGGGAGGTCATCGTAGTGAACGAGCAGTAGCTTAAAAAATGACGTTGTTAAGTGTAAAAATTTTACCTATGGAATAAATGATTATTTGATTTTAACTTTGTCATAACTCCACTTATGCCATTATTCCATGAGGGGTGCGATATGCAATTCATTTAGTACAGATCTTAAGCCTAAATTACAATAAATATACCTAATAACCTATGACCTCTCTTCGTCATTTTCAGTAACCTCTGCTTCTACTTTTTTATTGTCATTATTTTCCACTTCTTTTTCGATCTCTTGGGGATTGTTGATATTGTGAAAGTTGAATATTTTCTCAAAATTTATTGTGTTTTGATTGTAAATTGTATGTTCTGGTGTATCGCCCCAGCTTACGGGCGTAACTCTGCTGTTTTCACGACTTTCTTCAATTTTCTCTGGGATATTTATTTCCGCTGTCACTACCTCTGGGATCGGGTTTAATACATTTTCCGATTGCACACTGGGCGTCTGCATTTCTGGGTTCGACATGCCTTCCAACGACGCGCATCTATTTAGAAAATTCATCATCCTCTCTTTATATAATTCTGAGCTAGTTTCTGTATTTCTAGCCTTGTTGCTTTGATTTTTAAGATAAAAACCATTATCGCTTTGCGCTAAAAATATCCTCTTTATCTTCGTACTCGGGTAGTGCTGTATCAAGTCCGGTTTTGGCGGTAATAATTTGCCATTTCTTGGTAATTTCTTTGTGTTATTCCCTTTTATTGTTGTTACGACACTAATGCAGTTACCGCGCCTCTCGTTATCATCCTCTTTGTAATTATTTCTCATGCCCTTGTATGCTATTTTTACACTCAAAATGGACCATAAAAATTCCAAGAAGGAGGCTATAAATATGTTTATACTTAACACTCTCTTAGTAAATAAGTGTGAATTATCACCACTTTCAAAAGGCGTAGTTTTAATTATCATATGTGAATCATTTCTTTCGATCACATCACTATGTTTCACTACAAAGTAATCGTTCGATGGTATTTTCTCCTTATAACTCTCAGAAATGTCCACCTCGTTCGTAAAAAACCAGACAAAAATCATAACGCAGGAAATTAACGAGAATATCGTCGAAAATATTGACATTATAAACAACCAAGTTATGTTTCTATCGATATACCATCGAACCGAAGCCATTATTGAAGCTATACCCGCCGCTAAAGCGAAGATAGTAAGCAAACTCGGTGCTAAAACTAGTATATAATTGCTGTCTCTCTTTTCTTTACTTGCAACATGTTCGTCCGTGTTGTTTGTATCTACTTCGTTGAATAAACCTGTTAAGTTTCTGTCAAATTCTTCAATGTTTAAGTCAAAAATGACGTCACTTCTGTTTATTAATGTATTTTCTGTGTCATCTAAATTTATTCGCTTTATATCTGAGTTAGGATTGACTAACGCCAAACAGGCTAGAAGAAATGACGTCGCCGCTAGAGCTATGTGAACCCACGCCAATCCAGACACTGTTGACGCGGAATATCTTCTCTCCGAAGGATATAAATTCCTTGTATCAGGTTTTGTTTTCACTTTAATAGTATAAACATCCTCCATTTTGCGATATTTACTACACAGGTTACACACAAATCAAATCATTGTCCTTGAAATTTCACGTTGGACCATCAGTATAAACATAAAATTACGTATTTGCACTTACACCAGTTTCATGTTACATCAGTTCATATTTTAAAAACAATATTCGGTCTTTAACGGTGTTCGCTTTGAAAACAAAAGAGTATTTGAATATGGAATGTCAACCGACACGTTCACTGCGCATGCCAGTTGCGCTTAGACTGAAGTTGTTTGTGATTGGTTGAACAAGTTTGAAGGCGTATTCTGAATGATTGTAACGGTATTGCTACGACATGAAAATGGTACACGTTTCGTCATTGTAAGGTAGCAGGTAAAAATATTTTAAGAACAGTCCCACATTGTCTGCTTAGTTTTGATTATAGTGTGAGTCAAGTCCTGGACCCCAAACCAGTCCGTTTACCCTCCAGATGCAGCCTTATTGTTGGCTCGCTTACCTCTCGTTGTGCTTACAGTTTTTTACTTTACAGTTATTCTTAAAAAGTGGCAATTTTAAGCCAGCGATTGTATATCGACGTGAGAGTCAGGCGAGCAAATAGCTGCTGCGTAAAATTATTATTCTATAATATTATATTTAAAAAAAAAGGCAAATGCAATAGTAGCGTCCGTATAAGAAAGAGTCGAAAATGTCCTATTTAGGACTTCTTGCAATGAATCAGCGTCGAGCAAAGAGACGAACGTGATATTTGCTAAATTGCGATGTTTTATTTAAATTTCAAGAAAAATGCTGTCGTATGTATTTAGAAAGTGCACTAATTATCATGTGAACTAAATAAAAGAAAGGACTCTTATATCATTATTAATTATTGTTATTATTAAGAAATATACAGTGTATTTATTAATTTAATCAAGAAACGAACAGGTAAGGTACAATAAAATCTTAATTACTAGAAAGAAAATAAAACTAGGATTTCATCATATGAATAAAATTGGGTCTCCGCGGCAAGGTGCTAAAGATGCTGGCAGCGTTCCCCCTTTGAATGCCTATACTAATGCGTTGGGCAAGGTAGCTGCCGGCCCTTGGGTTTCCTAGACAGTCTATTAATTTTTTTAGATAAAATAGAAATATATTGACAATAACGCTGTATTTTAATATCATTGGCATTGCGAGACGCCTGTTTAATCTAATCGCTTTGTGGTGGCTGCGGCATGAGATAGCAATGTGCAAGCACGGAAGAATTTGCTTAGCGCTATTACTTTTGCATGAAGAGTAAAAAGAAGAAGATTCGACAATATGCTACAGTGACATCATTTCAACCCATGTAGAGTATGAACAAACAGGCCCATGTTCTGGTTAAAAATTACTTTTGGATGTTACTTACTACGTAAAAACACAACTTATAACTTGAAAAATACTACCAAAATCTCCGCTGCTAAATAGTCACTTTAGTGTGGCTTACATAAGTTACCCATATTGGCTAACATATGCATTTTGAATATTTTATGTTGCTTAAAAAATCTTTGTCTTGGTAATTGATAAATACGTTGTGGCAATAAAAAAATACCTCTTGTAATAAAAAATATAAAAAGAAACATAATTATGTTTATTATTTAAAAGATCGAACTATTTTTCTTCTAATCGACGCTGATTTACAGGAGTTTTTTGTTTATTATATTTTCTGTGTACTGTTTAGGTATTCGGGTTTGTCTCAAAGAAATGTTTAAGGAGGCTGGTATCATGACTGTGGCATCACAGTACATTTACTCAATTTTTTTGTATGCCTGTAAAAATACTAACAATCTCATTAAGAAAGAAGATATTCATAATATTAAATCTTAAAACTAAGTCCTTTTTTACATTATTTTGTTTAACTACGGTAAATGATTCTGTTATGGGGAACTATACGTTTTTACAATAAGATTCCGGAGCATATATTAAGTTTACGATTTCCTAAGTTTAAAACTTATATTAAAAGTATTTTAATAGAAAAATCTTATTACAAAATTGAAGACTACGTGACAAAAAAAGATATATGGCAAGACGACATGAGTCTAAATTTCACACAAATGCGATTCAAAGTGTATTCTCTTTGATAAGAACAATCCCTAGGGCTTCTTGCTCGGTCTTCTCAGGGAAGTCAGCGTAGTGAACGAGATCAGTATTAAAAAATGACGTTTTCAATTGTAAACATTTTACCTATGGGATAAATCATTATTTGACTTCAGAAATTCATAAATATATACATTGATAATGATAATTGATTAAGTACTTAGTAAAGTAAGTTGCAGTGCTCTTATAGGGTAACCTATCACAAACTCGAAAATTGTTTTGTCCGAAATAACGGTTGTTCGAGTTTTCATTACACCCAAAACGTAACGAATTATAACGAAACAGTTGTTCTTTCAGGATATGTTGAATGTTTATTGTAAAGACACGATTACGTTTGGTTAGGTTAGGTTAAGTTAGGTTTAAAAGAAAAAACATTTTCCTCTCAAAATTACTTTCGAGGTTATGAAATTTTTGACGACAATAATAAATTTGGTGATTAGGGAAATGACACGTTTATTATTATTTTTTCTTATAGTATTTGTAATGTAATTTAATTTA